GCCAAACTACATAAACTTAAAATATCGAAAAATATACAGCGCGCGAATTTTAAATGAGAATTTCCGAAAACTTTTCAGTCTTAATGTATAAGATAGTGGAACCAGTTTTTAGACAAAGCAATTTTAACATATATGAGTATTTGAATTTTCTATTTTTAGAAACTGCGTTGTCCAAAAATTAAATTAAAAATGAAACCAATAATTTTTACATATATATTATGTCATTATTATTTTAATTTTCCATCATATTTGCATTAAAATTCAGATGTTAACTTGCCTGCTGACTTGCAGTCAATTAACAGCTGTTTTTTTGATTTCACCACGCAAACTATAGAACAAAACACGTTTCTACCACGAATTACTAAAAACAGTGCACCAAGGTTTTAGAGAGCAAATTACATACAATTCTGCTTCCATAACTCGAACTTCTATAACTCGAATTTCTCTATAACTCGAACAAAAATTTTTTTCCGTGCCGATAGGAATATGGAAAAGTGCATTCTATAAGTAGAATTTTTGTTTTAAGTATAAATGCATTTTGCTATTAGAGGAAGTCCCTTTTCCGAACCAAATGTTTAATTTTTTTCTGTCTTATATTGCTTCTTTGTGTAAATGCCAGTCGCTGGCAGCGTGGTTTAAAGTAAACAAAATAACTTCCAATGCCATTCTTAACGATTATATTAAGCTTGACAATAAAATTTGTATATCAAGCTTTCATATAGATGACAATATTATTGAGCACTATAGTTCTAAATTACTGGATCCAATTCTAAGCCCAACGGAAAGTGATGATGAGGCTTCAATGGATGTAATTGTTTATCAGCCTTCCAAGAATGAAGTAGAAGACTCATTCAAAATTCTGAATTCATATTTGCTTTTCTGATTTTATTTACATAAAAAAGCAATTAAATGTTAGTACATGTTTTTTATTTCCTTGCAAATAAAGCATAACAGCACTAATTCACCAAACCTTAACTACAATATGTGTTACCATCGACAGGTAAATGCACCAAATTTTTGATACATATTTACTGGGAATAATCATTCACGTCTGCTGAAATGAAAATAATTCAACTTTTTGATCGTAATGTCCTCTGTTGCACCAACAACAAGCGCAGGTGTGACGCACTTGCACTTGCCAAACCCCATACTTCAGTTTACCTACATTGACTAGTTCGACC